GGGGGGGGGGGGGGGGGGGGGGGGGGGGGGGGGGGGGGGGGGGAGTACCGTAGGACTCGATCAGCCATTTCATACTGGACACCGGCAATCTTCGGGTCGGGGATAACACAGCGGGAGGGTGGGGTTGGGTGGCAAGTCCATGAAGCAATGCGGCCCTTGTTGCTGCACCACAAGGCCGATCGTCTCGCATAACCTCGAGGAGGCTCTGCAAGTGCGCGTTGACATACAATGGCGTGGGCGAAAGTACGCAAAGCAAGAGGCACACTTCGGTATATTCGCACCCGAAGTTTTAGCTGCTGTTGGACAGTGGGATGGGCCATGTATCTCATCACGTGATTCCGCAACTAGTGGCATTACACAGCTTAGCCCCTGCTCCGTGAAAAGTTTGTTGTTACGTGACGAACAAAAATACCATCCAAGTGCAAAACACGTCGGTCCAAGGGGTGCCGTGCCCCCCCTCAGCGACAGGATAGATTGGCAAAGTAGGAAGAAACGGTCGGCCGTCGAGCACGCGTGGTTTAACCGCTAAGACATGCACAACATTAGCGCGCCCCCCGCCCCGCCCGGCGACAACCAGGCATATCGCTTCGTCCCGGCGTTGTAGGGCTGATGCGAGGTCCATGAGTCTACCGACTACGATATGTGTTCACATGAGACGCCCGCCCCCCCCTGTGTCCCACGGACGTTTGTTTTATGAAAGTACGCCGGGCGAAAACCCGGCATATCGCTCCGTCGCGGCCGAGGTATTGTAGGGATGATGCGAGGTCGGATTGTCTACCGACTACGGCAATGGTTTGCATGAATATAACCCCCGTGTCCCGGGAACGATTTTTTTTCAGGGTACCGTTGGTGAAGTCTCACCTAGCCGAGCTGCTCGGGCGAGACAAGACCGCCATCAACTTTGGTCTGAGCTGCACCCTCAACGCCGACGAGAGCATCGCCAGAGGCTGCGCTCTCCAGTGCGCCATGCTGTCGAAACGGTAAGTAGTGTACATAGCCGTTGTTTGGTCGGGGGGGAGNAGGCGTGCATGCCGCAGTCGTTAGACCATTGACCTCGCATCCCTACAAACCTGGGACGGAGCACGCCGGGTTCTCACCGGACCAGGGGGGAGGGGGCTTGTGACATGTGTCTTCGAAACGTGTTTTTTTTCTTGAAGAGGGGGCGAGGGGCGGAGGTACTTGTGACGTGGATTTTCGAGGTACAGGTGCAAATTGCTTTTTTCCTCAAGGGGGAGGGTAAAGTGTCTCCGAATGTCGGAGAGGGTTGTTCGTTCTGATTGGGAGGATGCAGAGCGGGGGGGAGGAGGGTGTCGCGGGCAGGTTTGGGGCACGCCCGTCTTTCGCGCATATGTGGTGTACTAGCTATAGGTAAGAGAGACAACCCCATTGGACGATTGCGGACGGCGGGTCATTTCCTAGTGGACCGGATCACCATCTTCCTTGAAGTACGCAAGTGTAGCGCTTGTTCGGTTTTGGATCTGCTTCTGATGTGTATGTTTTTGGAGGTTCAACGTGAAAGAGTTCTTGCGACACCTTCGTGCTAATTGCAGCGTTCGCTTGAATGCCCTTCTTGTCTCCCATCAGGTTTAAGGTGAAGGATTTCTTAGTGAAAGAGATCGTGCCCTACCCGATCAAGCTCAGCTGGGAGGGCGAGGCCCCCGCGGACGCGGGCGCCGTGGATGCGATGACTACGGGAGGTGAGCCAAGCCGGGGGGTGTGTGCTCATGTTTTGCATGCCTTAGCGATTAGACTGTTGTACGGGTTTGATGGCGCTCTCCACCACCTCTCTTGAGGGCTTGATGATGTGGATTGTCCTCAGAGATGCCCGAACACAAGAACGAAAATACGAGTACATGTTGTAGTCCAGGGAATAAGAGAATCGGGAGGATGCGACAGTCCAAAGGAAGAGGAAATGCCATTTGCGAAAATAGACGACTTGGGCCGGTACTTCGACCCAAAAGAAGGTTAAGGCTCGATCCGATTTTGACGTTTCTTAAATGCTGGCGCCATCTGTAGAATCGAATGTTCTCCAAGCGAAAGATAACCTCGCCCTCGGTGAGGGACGAGGTTACGCACAACTTTTTTTTTGGCGGCATCAGACGGACCGCCGGTAGATGGGAGGAATTCATCCCTGATACCAACACCCCGTTGCAGCTGCAGCACCAGACCGCTCGCTACTGCTGCTGTCTGTGCGTCGCTACTTCTGCACTCACTCGTGGTGCACGGTTCGTGCAAAGAGCGACCCGC